TACATCCAAAATTGCATTATCTCCTTACCTCCAAAACTGAGGGAACTTCTGTTTTGACATTATAATCTCTGTTTCAGCCTTCTGTCCTCCCACTGAAATCAGGAGCACAAATCCCACCACTTTTTTCCTGTTAAGTTCCACAAGGTGCCTCTTAACACAAGAGGAGCCCATGCTGCTTTCCCAAGAGCTTCAAGTCTTTGCCTATGACACTGTAAGCTCACTTCTTAAAAGTGAAAAGAACTATTCAGTTACTAGAGATATAGTATGAAATGGTTTTCCCATCCTCTCAAGCTTGAGGATGTCAGAGTTATCACCATCCCTGAATTAGAATGGAATTTTTAAAATTGCAAAAACTTAATCACATGAAAATCTGAAAGAGAATTGTTTCAGGCTAAATTAACTACAGTGCTTTGATCAAAAGTACTTTGATTTTTTTTTAAACAAAGGTAGAAATTTTCTAATTTTAAAGACCCCAACTTCCATAAAAGCTCCTTTTCTCCTGATCCTACAAAAGAGGCAGCATAGTGCCAATCACTTTCCTAGAACTAGCAAAACTGATTAGTATATTGCTGAGTAGTTATGAGACATCTCTGCTAGCAAGTGATATCTGAAGTCCACTTTTTTGTGCATTTTCACTCCAATTGCATTCTATCATCATCAATATAATGCATCATCTGTTCCCAGATGCACTGAATCCATCAAAAACCAAACCAAAAAAAAAAAAAAAGTACCACTATCAAAATATTCTCTTTCAGCAGCCTTTACTTCTACAGAAGTCCCTTCGTCTCTAGCAATCTACGTTTTTAGTCAGAAGATATGGCAAATTCCTCACCTCTGAAAAGCTGCGTCCCATCTATCATGGAGCACTGTGGTCCTCTGATATGGTCTGCAGTAGTTTCAAAACAGAGAATTAAATTGGGATCAGTTCCCAGAAAAGTAGGGGAAAAAAGCTAATATTAATTTTCCTTCCCAGGACTAGAAGTTTCACTCAAAATTAAAGCTCAGATTGTAATGACTCCTAAGGCTGGAAATTTCAGAAAAATACCAAACATGTCACAATTAGAAATGCTAACTCAGCCTAAAAAAAAACCTTTCTGCCTCACCTCATCTCCCTGAGCACATGGGTGGCCTGGGGCTGCCTGAACAGATCAAGGGCTGACCCAGAGTGTGCGCTGACACGATCATCCTATTAGGGGCTGAAGATAAAAGTATAATACTAGGAACTGATGACAGAATTTGCTCTAATCACTTCCACCTACCTTGATAAAAGAGCAAAGGAAATGCCTCTGTCTTAACTATTCAGCTTGGAGAAAACAGATTTGCTATGTTAAAAAAAAAAAAAAAAAAAATCCCAAATAATGCTTTAAAACATCTGTTAAAAGCCTTACACATGTCTATGTACGTCTTCAGTTCTTTCACCTGAAGGTCAGAGACAGAAGTAACCAGTGATTTCTGTCTGCTTGGTACCTAAGCACAGGAAAAATGTGAAAGAGAAAAATGGTACTTGAACTCTGTAGTTCAGGTTCACAAATCATTCTGAAAAATAAACCGTTACCCAAACATTTCAGTTTATTCCTGTGACTGAAAAAACAGATGTGCCATAAGATAGCCGAAAGCTCAGAGAGCTTTTGGGGGTAATCCTCCTGAGAATACCAGCTATTCCCTTTAACTCCGAAGTTGTGTACTTTACACTGCTGCATGCAGAGCAATTTTTAAACAAGAGTTTACTTAAAATAGATAAGAGACCAAAGACATGTGTTTCAAACTGTTCGGATTCATAAGCATGATAACTGACTTACTAAACAGTGTTTATCCAAATGAAGGTGTGAAATCCTCACTGTTTGCCTGTATTAGTTTTAGATGACTTCTAGTACCAACTCTCTTCAAACTACGAATTTTGAGGAGGAAAACAGAACTTCTTTCAATCTGCAATATGCTTGGGAAAATGTGTTCCATACTGCGCTTGTGTGAGTGCTTGCAGTCATCTCAGCTTTTCCCCCATCTCAAAGGCAATTTACCAGGAGGGGTATGGAGCTTCATTTGCAAGCTAACAGCATTGCAATGAAGAGGATTCAAGTCCTTCATTTTAATATTATTGGTACACATTTAAGTGCCACACACTCTTACAGTACCACATAGAGAGATGATCTCAGACCAGAAGAGACTACAAATCGTGAACCTATTTCTGCCAGCTTTACATAAAATAGCTCATTGTAACTACTCCCTATGTACAAGCAAACCAACAAAAGAAATTCCCCTATAATTAGTGAATTTGAGCAGGAAAGAAAAGAATGGAGAAGAATTAATGCCAAAAGTGATTTGTAGAAATAAGGGCCAGGAAGAGTATTTTGTTGTCTTTCTTTTTCTACTAATGTTTTGTGAATTGCGTTATTAACATCTTTTGCTTGAGCTACTCTGGTTTGGTGTATTTCCTTTGATGTCAAAGGGTCTACTTCAATTTATGACAGATTCTCTTCTACCATCACATTTTCAAGTGCAGGTGTCAGAGCTTCATTACTAGTATGGAAATTAGGAATGGATGGCAACATGTAAGACAGCAGACCATATTAACAGCTTAATTATTTTAATTCTTGGTTTTCACATTGGTAGCACCAACAATACTGAGAACTCTTGAAAGGATGCTTATGTACTTCAGTTGTCTTTATTTTATTTTCAGGCTCTTATTCCTGGAACTGGACAGAGCCCCATCCAGCCAGCTCCCAAACAACCCTGCTGCCAACCAAAGCTGAGCCCATTGGCAAAACTGTAGAGAAGAGGGAGTGAAAGTATGGCTGGGGGGCGGTCTGGTAGCTCGCCCAGGCCACCCCACCACAGGTCCTTAAGTACTTTTACAGACCGGCTTTTTTGGGATACTTCACCATTGCAGATCTTTCTTTTCCTATTGAGCAGCAGCAATTAACACCTCAGAATGGCACATCCTGTGTATTCCTTGACCACGCCACATTCTTCTGTTTGTTAGATGCTTTGAATTGAAACATACTCATCACTTACCTTGGATTACATCATTTGACAAATATTTTTTCCCGTGCAGTTTTGCCTACAATTACACGTTACATGCAATTGCATCATCAACCATCTTTGTAACATTTACTACTTACTTTCAGGGGACAAAATATTCAGTGAGCATCTGAAATTTCATCCAAATCTTTTAGTAATCGAATACAGATGATCTATGGATTTACACTACTTTTTTTCATTTGCATCAAAAAATTTAGAATCTGTTTTATTTGTACCAAATCCTCATCCCAAGCGTTTATGATTTGGTTATAACCAGGAAGCAAAACCAGAAAATCTTCTCATTGTCTATCCAAAATGCATTACACAGTAAGATTTGCCTTTTTAAATAACAGCTACCACAGCTGAGACAATGAAAGTTTTTGCCATACCTATTTTCCACCTTTTAAATAAGTCAAATGTTGTACCATGGAGCCAAAATCAAAATGATAGAGTTGATTAAATTCTGAAAAGAATAAAACAAGCAAGTAGTGCCCCAAAGCCTACCTGTCTGCTCGTACTGTTTTAGAGAACAAAGTGAGGTATTTCTGTGTCAAAATTTCTATCAGAATCATATATGTGAACACAAATGGGACAGGGTTTTACTCTGAGTCATTAAATCCATTTCCTTACTGTTATGGTGTACCAGGTCTGCCTGGGCTGGAGTTAACTTTCCCCGCAACAGCCCATGCTGTATTATGCTCTGCACATGTGGCTAGAACAGCAATGGTGTCACACCAGTGTTTTGGCTATTGCTGAGGAGTGCTGGCACAGCATCAGGACTCCCCAAAGTCCCCTAGAGCCAGCAGATTGGGGTGGGCAACACACAGGGAGGGGATATCACCAGGACAGCTGACCCTAACCAACCAAAGGGATGTTCCATACCATGTGGTGTCACACTCAGCAATAAAAGGTGGGAAAGGGGAAGGAGAGGGGGGCTCTCCTTATGAAAACGTCTGTCCTCCCAAACAACCACTGTGTGTATTGAGGCCCTGCTTCCTGGGACGTGGCTGAACATGGCTCATTAATGGGAAGTAGAGAGTAATTGTTTTTCTTCCCTTTTTGCTTCCATGAAGACTTTGCTCATTTTTATTTCCTCCTCTTTCTTTTCCTTTTAAGGAAATCATCCTTACCTCAACCCGTGAGCCTTTTTTCATTCCAGCATACTGCCTTCTCCCCCTCTTCTTCTGAGGAGGGGGAGTGAGAGCACGGTTGTGGTGAAGTTTGGATGCCAGGCAGGGTAAAAACACCACACTCAGGTGCCCACAACAGCAAGGCCTTCTAGGAACTTGTCAAGCTCCATCCTAAAAGCAGCTAGCTGTTCTAATTTCCACTTGCATTTATTTCTGCCCACTACCTATTATCACAAGCTATTCTAAAAATAACCTTACCTTACAGAATTCTTCTTTTCTGCTTACCTCCTAATATATTCATAGAAAAACTAATATTCCCTTTCAGCCTTCACCTTGCTAAGCTAAACAAGAATAAGAAAAAAAAAATGAAGAGACGTGACATCTTCCATCTTCCTCATTATTCTAATAGCAATCAATTCTTTGTACTTGTTCAGTTTTCATTTTCTCTTTAATATGGGTGACCATGCAGTACTCCAGGTAAGGCCTCTTCAGGGACCACACAGTAATATTCATCCCTCTCTCTTTTTACTGGATTTATCTTGATAGATAGACTGGGCATTTTATATTTTAAACATTAGCAACTCTTTTCAAATTAACGATTTCCACCCCCCTTTTTCCTCCAACTTAAGCCATTATTTATTAGGTGATACTATGTCAAATGCTATAATGAAATTCCAATAGATAAGATCTGATACATCATCTTTGTTTAGCAAAACTGGCACCAGATCAAAAGAAAGCAGTAATGTTAATTTCATGTAATTTATCTTTCAAAAACCACTGTAGCATTTTAATTCCATTTTACTCCATGTCTTCAAGCTGCATTTTTGTCAATAGGCTTGAAGGCAATTGTGGTCCGTTTTACTGACCTGCAGTTTTCATGAGGACTTTTGCCTGCTTCTCAAATACTTCTTTATTTGTAACTCTGCTGGTCTCTGGAATACCCTTTTGCTTTGTTTTAAATATTTCCAGGTGGAACCACAACAGTTCTGAGAATTCGGAGATGGAGATTATCTCAGAAATCCTTCTCAAGTGTACTAATAATTTGAATTAATACACTTGAGTGTACTAATAACTTGAATTTCTAACCTGTTTAAAGTCATTTCAGTTTACATGCTCGCTTTCCATTATCCCTCTCACCTCAATATCACTATTTTTATCTAGAAAATATGCAGTTGGTTCTGGGGTGCTAGACCAATGAGTATTCTTTATCTTTACATGCACAAGTCTATATTCTTTCATAATTTCTAAATCATCTCCCAGATACTTATTTATCCAGCTAAACGTCTAAGTATTTCCCTTTAGCTGGGTTAAGTTTTCCCAATACATTTAGCAACTTACAAGTGTTCTCCATATTTGAGTTCCCAAGCTCTCCAGGAGTTCCAGCTGTAGTAGCAGTCATGGCTAACAAAAATTCCAAGACCCTACAGAATCTCTAGCCCCGCAACGACTCCACCAGCAGCATAGTGCAAAGCACCTGTGCTGCTGAGTCTGTGTCTGAGGCCTTGTAGAGGCACAATCACTATAAGTCACACCCAAACTAACTTGGAACTAATTTCAGATAGTTTAAAACTGACTTGAAACTTACAGAGCAGAGTACGGTGCCAAAGCAGTTAAATCCTCAGCTGGTCAGCCTGTTGGAAGTTGTAGTCATGGCAGAAAGTCTGATACAGACAAACCTGGGATGAACACAGACAAGGTAGATTTGATATCTTATTTTAATATGTATGTATCTGCTGGAGTGAGCAGAATTGATCAAATGGATGACTGCTTCTCAGTTTAGCATCACATTTGAAACCATAACTGGTTTTCAGATGTTCTTTCAAAAACACACAGGCTCCATCTACTCTTTCCTTCTCACTGTAAAGCAAGTCAGACTGACAAGTTTACAACATCAAAGACTGCTTTTGAGTTTTACACTAGCAGTCAGAAATCACATGGAAAAACAACAATGATTTTTAATGTTCATGCATTAGCTCTGTAAAACTTTAAAAATAAAGCTGTTAAAAAATAATTTTCCTGTTTAAAGTAGAAGATGGCTTGTAAGTTCAACTACACGGATATATGTGCACAAGTACACATGCCCCCAAACCCCCAAGCCTAGCATCCTACAGAAAAATAAAAGATAATCTGGAAAAAAAAAAAAAAAAAAAAAAAAAAAAAAAAAAACTCTCCTGCTGCTGTGCTGGTTTTGACAGGGTTAAGTGTGCAGTCCTCATATCGCACACTTGTAGTGCCCATTCAGATAAATGGGTTTCATTTTATTGTTTACTTGTAGTTGATAAGGTTCTAGGATTGATTCTGGTGGCTCACAATGCCTCCCAGGCACAGGATGTTTTTCTTACTACTGCATGCAATGCCTTTCACAACACAGTGGTTTTCTCTATGAAAGGCAGGCAACTAAAACATTAGCCAAATCAGTTTTTCCATCTTTGTAAAATGAAGAAAATTCTTAACATGAAATCATTTCTATGCCAGCACAACAACCATAATAACCCTAAATATCAAGAGAGCAGGACAGAAAGGATTACTTTTTGCCTTTTCTGTCTGTGTTGGACAATACGAAGACCCTGTGGAATCCATGATTCACCTTGTTAAACCACACCTGGAAAACTACCTAACGTTGTTTCACAGAAGAAAGTTGTTTTTGTGTGTTGTTGTTTTTTTGTTTTTTTTTTTTGGTTGGTTTTTGTTTGGTTGGTTGGTTTTGTTTTGTTTTTTAACTGGATTAATTAGAAGTATCAGCAATTCAGGTTCCTAAAATTGGGAAAGGAAGCCTCTCTCCTCATTCATCTTCATCTCAAATAGAATTAATATTAATGCCTGGTGAACTCCACAAGGATCTGCATGAGTTCGCAATGGGAGATACAGCGCATCTGATTATTTCAACAGAATGCTAAAATCAATATTGCTTGCATCAGTTCCTCACCTTGTCACTGACTTCCACAGTCTCAAAATAGGCACTGCTATAATACCTTCATCTTTGCATCCATATGTAAAAGATGGATACTAACATATAATTACCTAACAGAAATGTCAGTAACATTCTTCATTATTAGTAAACAAGTTTTAAGACTTCATTTTTCATTAATTCAAAGAAGCCGGATAACTGATTTATTATCTGCACAGTCTGGTGATTGCTTTGAACCTCCAACACTGGAGCCACCTTTTTGCACAGTATTTCTGCTTGTGATCTTATCAAGAAAATGCAAAGATCATTAAAATGACTCAGTTTTAGATAATATTTTCATGCTTCCTGTGAGAATTTGGAGAATACATATATGTTTGTCCGTAGACTTCAGAAGAAAGCTAGCTCTAGTGTTTATATATATGTACCCTGGTCAAAACCTGCTACAAGTATTTGAGACTTCTGAGTTTTCTTTAATCTCCTCCAGCTCTTTCCTCCATGTTAGCCTGCCATAAATTGGTGCTTTGAGGCTGGCTGCACAAAAGAAGCCCACACTGCAATAGCAACTGCAGGACACCTGCATCCCATACATCCTGCCTTCTCAGGGAATCCCTGCCCATGGACAGCACCCAAAGCCCAGCTGAGAGAGTGGCCAACCCTGTCGGCAGTATCTGCGGGGGCAGCCCCTTCAGCTGCCACAGCTACCTTTTCCAGAGTTTACCAATCTAGCAGCAGAGGGAACAGAGCAAATCAGGTGGCATATCCTCAGCTCCCACAATTTAAAAGCCAGACTGCTTGCATAAAGTTATCTAGATGGCTGTTAAAGGCAATGCCGTGATTTACAGCAGCGGTGAGAGCAGCAGTAGCGCAATCACAGCAAACATGAAAAGGATCACAAATCAGAGCCCTTCCCAACTTCACACCAAAGACCACAGCGAGTAAGAAGTGCCAGAGAAGGGGGATTCAGTCCTGCCTTTCCTCAGCAGTTACATCCCGCCAGCCCCCAGGAGGACAGGCCCGCTCAGAGCAGCGCTGCCGCTAGACCTGAAGGCCTGGAAGCGGGAGATGCAAATCCTACACCAGACAGAGCAGGGGAGCAAATCCCAGTCTCTGACATATTGAGTGATCACATTAGTGGTATGATAAAAAGGTGCAGAATGTTTGGGTCAAGGGATTTAAGTCAAGTGTACTCTTTTAGAAATATTTGAGGAAAAACTCGTTGGCTTACCATAGCACAATATGTTCAGTACCAACTTGGTGCCTCCAGAGCCAGTTCTCTTATACCCATGAGGAATTTCACACCTGTGTCTGCACTTTCCTTTCAAATTAGCTGCTCATCAACTCTATTACTAAACAAACATGAAGCAGCTGTAGCTCTCAGACTATGATTAAAATTAAACCCTTCAAATCCAGCCTAGCTTACAGAGCCTCTGTACAGTTGTACTCAATTGATTAACTCCAACTGGTTCACTACTAAAACTAATCTATTAATTTAACAGTCTGAAAAAGCTTCAGATAAAGCATTTCACATGAAGGGGATCCAAATGATATTTCAAGTAAAACACAGAACGATGATGCAGCTAAAATGCTTTAAGAAAAATAAATAATTTATAGTTTTAAATTGCCTTTTTTTTTTTTTTTTTTTGCCTTAGAGCAGTTAAACTGTGGGTTCTTTTATTGATTCACCATTCATTATTTTGCTTTGCAAAACACTGAAAAAGAAGAAGAAGAATGATGTTAGTGGTCTTCTAGCAGAGGTAAGGGAAGATCCTAGGAGTTAGAAGCCGATGAGCCCACGAGCCACCACGCACACACTACCTATGGCAAAGTAAAAACTGCGTGCTTAGCAGGGGTCTGCGTTCCACCTAGACTACAAAGCAGGCTTTCGATCTGAACTTTGCAGAATACATACCCTCTCCGTGCAGTCAGGGAAATAAAGGAAAAGACAAATGGGTCTAATCGCATTATCCTGTTAAATCATGATCTGATGCATAAAATATTATAGAACTAGTTCTATATTTTATAAAACACTAGGTGAACCAGTGTTCCCCTGCATGAACATTCAAAACACTTCATGAAACACTTCTTTGCCTTTACAGCTTCCCTTTAAGCAAGGGAAGATGTGAGTCTGCATGAATACTTCTCTGCTGCTTGCGGCAACTCATAAATACAAGCATTACTGACCCAGTCACATACTCTCATTTTTTTTGTTTCTACTTTAGGTTGAAAGGTTTTGTCTCACGATCCACATTGTTTTCACTGGTACGCTGGAAGTGCTGCCAGTATCTCGCCCACAAGATGGAGCTGGGTGTGGATTCCTTTTGACACTGCCTCCATCCCCACCTGTCCATCATATCCTATGGTACACCCCAGAGTACACAGGCTCTCAGAAAGAAAATCATAGTACCATCTAACGGTTCTAAGAAAACAGCCTGAGGCACTACATGGTCCCAGCACTAGGAATCTGTCTCTGAGCCAGATGGACACGTCATAGGCTCTAAAAACTGGCACACAATTGAGAAAACTGTCTGATTTACTTCTCAGATTGTAACATTTAAAAGCCATGCCAAACTAATGTGAAAAAGAAAAGTGGGTGGGGGAAGATGTCTGTAACAGGACTCAAAACTCTTCCATGGGAGATTGGAAGAGATTAAAGGCAAAACTGCTGTGGTTAGAGTTCATTTCACAGATGAATGAAGCCACCACACAGCATGCAGCCTGTGGAGGGCACAAGGAATCTCATTACCCTTCAGGAGGACGAAGGGAAGAAACAGAAGACCCCGAGGATCTAACCCTTCGGCCATCACCTGAGAGGATGGCCGCAATGCATTTCTCATGCCAAGAGCAGGCCACAACCCCAGCAGTAGCCAAAACCATGTCACCAGCCCATCCAAAATTATTCCCTAGTCTCTCTGCAGGGACAGGCTTTGTAGAGGCATAAGGCAGTATTGTGCATCCAGCCAAAACGAGCCCTCTGTCACCAACATCAAAGAGGACATTTGAAATGCCAGATGCCACCAGCTGCTCTTCCTCCTTCTGCTAGCAGGGGACTCACAGGTACCTTCAGGAAACATAAAGGTCATCTCCTGATGGCTTTCATCTGAATCACACTCCCACACTGACGCGCCCTTCTGCAAGGGCATCACTGGCACCAAGGCTTAAAGTTAACTTACTCTGAAGCTCAGCAGCAGGGCAGAGCAGAGTGAGGTGCAAAAGCTGTCAAATGCTCCAAGCACTCAACCTGTTAGAAGTCTGATACAGAACCAGGATCAACACAATGTCAGTTTGATAGTCATTGCTAATATGCATGTATTTGCTGGAGAGAGCAGAGCTGGCCAAAGCTTCTCAGTCTAGCATCACATTTGAAGCCGTAAGTGCTTTTTAGGCACACTTACCACTGGCAGCAAGTCTGGGAAGTCCTGTCGTATGCCTCCCCGTGTACAAGAGGAAACAAGCAGTGGCACCACCAAACAGTCTTAGCATATTTACCAGCTCCCACACCCCCAGAAGCAGAGGGAGGAAAGGCCTGGTGCCGTCAGGTCAGGGGAGTGAAATAGTGGTACATAAAGGAAGGGAGCGGGTTCCATACAGCATCCAGGAGCCTGACAGATCCCTCCATGCTTTTCCTTGTTGAGTTTTCACCATCATTTGGTGGATGGATGCTCTATTTGCATGCATGGGTACAGGTGATCTGGACCTTCCTTGGCCAAAAAGCCTTGCTTTCTTACTAACTGTGCTGCCTCTACAGCCCAGCGCAGCAGGGGAGCACTG